ATGCCAAAGACAAAATGTCCTAGAAGTTCAAGGAGAGAAGAGGGCGGTAGGAGAAGAGGAATGGAAAGAAGGAGGATGTGACTGGTGGAGAAAAAAGCAGAGTCAAAAAACCCCAACACATTTTGGGAACCATAAGTATTTTAGAAAAATGAGATGTAATATTATACACTCAACTTTTGAGACCCTTGGGCCTTATCTTCAATTTGATGGTAAAATTGGGATTTATCTTCTAAAATTGGCTGTAAGAGTGCTATAGAGGATGAATTAGAGCTGGGGCACTTTGGGACACAGGTGAAAATGACAACGTCAATGAAGCAAATGCAGTTATCATGAAGGTGATGGGGGCTGGCTGGAGGGAGGTGCATACTTTGGGTTGCAATACCAGCCTGGGGCATGAGCCTGCAGTTTGGGAGATAGAACTGGCAGGTGCTGCTAGCACATTTAGTGTAAGGCTGAGAGGGAGGGAGGAGGTGGGGTGATCCTAGGTTTTTGGTCTGGAGGTCTTAGTATATGGGAACATGCCTCGCAGAGTTGGAAAGAATAAGACAGCATGTAAGAAAGGATGTAGAAGGTGACAAATTCTGATTTTGTGAAATCAGTTTGAAGTGCCAAAGAATATCCAATGAATGTTAATATTTAGGCCTGGAGAAAAGGGAAGAGTGTGGGCTTTGGATTTGTTTGGCATAGAGGTGGTAGAAAACATTGGTAGAGAAAGAGGTCAGCAGCAATGTGTCAGGTGAATGAAGTCAGGTGGAGTTGAAAGGACGGAGCAGAGGAGGAAGAGGTCATGGAGGAGGGCAGAGGAAGCCAGAGAAATGAGCCATCATGCAGGTATTAGAGGAACCCAAGTGAGAGGGTTGAAAAGGGAATATAAGAGTGTCAAATAACTGCAGTAAGGTCAAACTGGATCAATACAGAACCACGTCCATGAAGATGCCATAGATTTCCTAATACACAGTGAATGAGCAAAAGTGCATAAACATCAGGAAAACATCACTAAGAGTAATTGAGGAAAGAAAGGGGAGGATCATGAGTGTTTCCCATGTGCCACATATGGCCCACAAGAAAGGGAGAGCTGGCTCTCTCTGCCATGTGAAATCCTACCCAACAGGGCTGCCTAGAGAGAAGGTAATTGCAGCAGAGAGAAGCTGGAGGGGAGATGCCAAATGCCTCGGCGCTGTAGGAGTTATACATACTCAACACTGTGTTCAGTACCTCAGTGAGGGGTGACAGGATCTCCTGAAGAACATATTCAAATTCCCCACAAGAGAAAAAGTCAGTTTTAACCACCTGCCAAGCCCAGAAAGCTCCTAAGTATCAGGACACCAGAACAATATCATTCAGATAAAGACTTCTTTGTCCCTTCTGCCTCTTCCTTCTGCAGCCCCTTTCCTGAAACCAGGGGAATTTGGGCAGGTGAAGGAAGAAGAGGAGAAAATCAAAAAAGCAAACAGAGATGTTTTCCTTTATGGTCCCAGAGAGAAAAAGAAGGAAATCCAATGTTCAAGGAAATATACCTTCTAACTACTGAAATAACATTGTTTAGAATAAATAGAAGTGACTAGAGAACTTATTGTCTAAGCATGATCCTAAAAGTCTAGTATATGCTAGAGATTCCATCCCAGGAGGAAGGGAAGAGCTAGCCCCACAGAGAGGGTCGTAAGAGGCACCAATGGAAGAAATAGATTTGCTTTCTGACTTTATCCTGTGAGGGCTATTTATTCAAAAAGAATTACACAGAGAGATAGAAAAAGAGAGAAAAAAAAAAAGACTTCCCATGAAAAACAGAGAGGGGGGTCCAAGTGAAGTTAAACTGCTGATACAGAATTCCCTGACCTGATATAATATGCAGGCATACAGATCCTGCAGGCTTTCACAGAGAAACCACTGAATGGTCCGCTTGTCTCATATTCCTGTGAACTCCATCAGGAACTTTGGCTAGAAAGCAGAAAAAAATGATATGGAGAAGTGAGATTTCAGGGCCAAGATCTGGTGAGGGGAGCAAGGAGAGATCCAGCAAGCCAAGGGATGAATGAGCCAGGAAAGCACTGACAAAAATAATAACTCACATGTACAGTAAACATTTACTAACAGCTTGGGAGGGTCAGACAAATCATGCCAAGGACAAAATGTCCTAGAATTTCATACTTCATTCGTACTTCATTCATAGAATCTCATTCAATCTTCACAGCGAACTATGAGTACAGTGAGAGTGTAGGGTGTAGGCTTTGCGCTTGGAAATGTGCCTGACATATTGTAAGCACTCAATATAAGTCACATTTTGTCCTAAGATAAGTGCTATTATTATCACATTTTATGGATGAGGGAACTGAGACTTAGGAAGTGAAGTCAATTACCAGGGGTCATTGGTAAGTAAAAAAATGAAGGTGGGATTTAAACCTAGGGATCTGCATCCAGCATCCTCACTCTTAATCTAGGGGCTTTGATACCCACTCCTCTCCCCTTGCAGCCTCTTTCCCTTTAGACCCAGCAGCTCCAGAAGCTGTTCTGTGTTGACCTCAGTAGTGCTTTCCTGCCAGACATGCTGCTGACCAAACACTGAGCCAAGGGTGAGGGTGATAGCCAGGAGATTAATATAACACTGTCTTGCCCTTTAAAAGAGGGTTTTAAAGACTGGCACGATGATGGACAAATGCCCAAGTGAAAGTCCAATGGATGATATACTTTCATTTAGTGGGAATTTATTGAACAAGAAATAGGACAGGGAAGGGGCACCTGGGTGGCTCAGTGGGTTAAAGCCTCTGCCTTCGGCTCAGGTCATGGTCCCAGGGTCCTGGGATCAGGCCCTGCATTGGGCTTTCTGCTCAGCAGGGAGCCTGCTTCCTCCTCTCTCTCTGCCTGCCTCTCTGCCTCCTTGTGATCTCTGTCTGTCAAATAAATAAATAAATATTTTAAAAAAAAAAGAAATAAGACAGGGAAGAAGCAAAAAATAGGAGAGGACTGCAGCCAGGCAAAGGCCCGTAGAAATCACCACATCTTTTCCTTCCTTTCTTTCTTTCTTTCTTTCTTTCTTTCTTTCTTTCTTTCTTTCTTCTCCCTTTCTTCTTTCTTTTTAAGATTATTTATTTGAGAGAGAGAGTGCACATGGCAAGGAGGGGCAGAGAGTCTTAAGCAGACTGCAGCTGAGCATGGAGCCCAACACAGGGCTTGATCTCCTGATGCTGAGATCACAACCTGAGCCAAAGCCAAGAGTCAGAGGCTTAACTGACTGCAGCACCCAGGTTCCCCCATATCACCACGTCCTTTGACATCACCATCACAAATAATTGCCCGATGGCTAGCGTTGGTCCAGAGCTGAACAGCAGGTGGAGCTGAGTCTCTTGAGATGGGTACAGAAATTGCTTCTCAACAGCTTTGAAGAGCTAGAGCTTGTAACAATGAAAAGGATAGGGCAAAGAAAATGAGTGTTGAGGGGTAGGCTGTACCAACACAAGGGGTCTGATACCAGTTGTCCTGGTGACAGGGAGTTAAATTCTGGCCCACACTCCCCTTTTATTTGGGTTCATTTGGGTTTCAATTGTGTATGACATTCCTTCTCCTTTGTAAATACCAAATAAACCATATATACTGGTGTTCCCCATTCTCCCTAGTACATTGTCTCTTCTCTCTTCCAAACCTCTCATCCTTATCCACTCAGCAAACACCTGTTGTACTCAGTCAAACTCAAGTTCTCAGTCTGCTCAGTGGCACAGGACTGGAACCACATTCCCAATAACCATTCAAGATGTTCCACTGTGACCACACAACGTGCACAGACTTAAACTCATCTTTTTCTCACACAAATCTATTCTGTTTCCTCATCACCAATTAATAATAATACCTGGGAGTCATCTTTCATAATTTTCTTCTAAGTTTCCCGTTAACTGAATCTCATAAACATACTTCTCTGATGATACTTCTCTCATCAGCATGCTTTCACTACCACCACCACTGCCTTCCTTCAGACTTGGAGATGTTTATAACCTCTTTGAAACAGACTAGTGCAACGTTTGACCCATCCCCCAGTCCGTCCCACACTTTGCTGTCAGAATCTCTGTCAACACCTTAGACATGATCCTTTCACCATTTTAACCAAAAGTCACTCATGGCTGTCAGTGAATGACTGCCAAGATGAACTTTCTGAGTTCAAGGGATTATGTATTCCACTCCATTTGTCTTTCCCACACCAACTTGCTACTACGACCCCAGGCACAGATCTGTTCCAACCACAGAGACCCACTGGCCAGTCCTTTGAAAAGGCAAGGAAGAAACTTTCTCAGAGGCAAATCTTTCTACTCTAAGACCAGATCTGGGATTAACCCAGTATGTCAGAACTGGTCAGGAGCATCAAACTCAAGTTCTTTACAGTAAGCAGGGTTTATCAAGGATATCAAGGGTGGCCACTCCCTGATTGAACAAAAATTGCAAAGCACAACAATCAGTGAGTTATAGGCAGGAAGGAAGAAAAAGAGCTAAAATAATCCCCGGACTTTGGCTAGGTTGTGTGGAGTGTTATAAAGAGGCTTCAGAACCTGATATTAGAAAAATAGGAAGGAGAGAACCAAAATGGTTGTGAGCAATCTGGGAAGCTCTCCTAGAAAGGTGGAGAAGGGGCAAGTTAAAAGGAGTTAAAATTTGGGGGGAAAGAGAAACCATGTGTAAACAGAGATTTTCTGCTCCTAGCAACAATGAACCTCCCTATACTTAGAGTTCAGTAGTCTTCACTATGGTCTGATTTCATCAGCATGAATTTTGAGTGACCCTGGGAGAGAACATGACACCAAAGGAGGGTTGATTAAACACAAGCCCTATTTTCAAGGGCCTGAGTTGAGCTCGGAGCTCTGGAGTCACACAACAATCGCTACCTGATGATGCAGTGATGAGGTCACAAGTGGGGCTCCCCTTTTCCCCCCACCCTTGGCTTCCTCAGAGCTAAGCAGAGGAACCAGAGGGAAAATCCACCTTCTCACACACAGCAATACCATCCACCTCACTCGACTAGTCAAGTTCACTACCAACACAAAGGGGTGAGTTGCATTTGGACAACTGCAAATGCCCCGTCTTTTCCCTCTCCTTTCCTAAGAGTGACTTAAAGCACCCCAGACATTGAACAGGGTTGAGATGATGGCTATTTTTGAATGAAAGCATCCCTTCATTTTCAGAAGCAAGAACTGGACTATGCCTCATTTGAAATAGAGATTCTTTTTCAGAGATTATCTCTCTCCAGAGAGCCATATTGCTTTCAAAACTAAATTAGATAAATGTATACTTTTATATTGTTAAAGGAAATCAAAAGAGTGTCAAATTAGATACAGCTTACAAGTATTGTCAGGGACTGAAAAGCCCTGCTCATATCTAGAAGTCAAATCATCCATAGAAGACCTAACTCAGGGCAAAACTTAACAGAGGAAGAAAAGAATTCTTCCTTAAAATTATATTATGTGGCTCTCAAATTCATATTTTCAGAAGAATTAGAATTTCCCTATTCATCTCCTCCTTTCCTGAGTTCTTCCCTTCCCCTAATCATGGGGAGGAGTCACAGAGTGGCCTGTCGGAGTCCAGCCATGATAGAGATTCAGTTTCTTTCCATCCCCAGTTTTCAAGTGAAGAAAGCAATTCTCAAGGCTTTGAGGGCTTAGGGAAGATACAGGAATGAAAGAAGTGTCCTGAGTCCCTAAACCTGGTAACATACCTTCTCATTCCATCTCCAGAGGGTTAGAGTAGTAGCCCTGCAGGAATTGTTTCAAACCTTTGTTGTGCCATGAGTGCTTTTAGCAGTTTGACCAAATTCATGACTTCAGAATAATGTACTTAAATTAATTAATTGAAAGACATGGAGTTACAAAAGATGCCACTTATATTGATAACATATGATTAAATATGGTTTTATCATGGGGTGGGGTTAGTTCTAGGACCTTGGTTGAAAACTCCTGCTGAGGGATATGGAATTTAGACAAAGTAAGTGAACAAAAAGCAGGGTAAGGGTGAAGAGACCAAGAAATGTCACCAATGACTCCAAGGACAGAAGGACAGCCCTTAAATGAGAATTTGGTCTAGAGCCCGAAACATCCCAGGAAAGTTTTTCATAAAAGCAAGGATGAGCAGGAGGTGTGAGTGGGAAGCCTCCTGGTCCTCTTGCAGTGTGGTCTCCCACATATGACCTGTTGCATATTTCTTTACAGGACCCAGAAAATCAAAAAAGAATGTCGAGTGATGATAAAAATAAATCTAGTGAACCTAAGAATGAGCCCAAGAACTGTGATCCCAGGTGTGAACAAAAGTGTGAAGCCAAATGCCAGCCCAGCTGTTTAAAAAAGCTGCTGCAACGGTGCTCTGAAAAGTGCCCACGGGAAAAGTGCCCAGCACCACAAAAGTGTCCACCGTGCCCCCCACCATGTCCCCCACCGTGTCCTCCTCCATGCCCAGCTCCCTTCCCCTCCAAGTCCTCTTCCAAGCCCTGTCCTCCTAAATGCCCATCTCCCTGCCCACCCCCAGAGTGAGGCACCAAGGGTACCTCTCATTCCAGTACCTCCAACATCTCTACCATGTTCACCATCTTATCCTGAAAGCTGAAGCCATGAACTGACAAGTAAACGTGTTCCTCTGCTGCACAAGGCTTTCTTCTCCTGTTTTGCTTTGTTTTGGCAGTTTGGGGTTTTGTTGTTGTTGTTGTTTTCCAGCACTAAAACCAAGAAGCAATCCCTAGAGAGTGAGGCTAAAACCCTGACATTCTACAATCAATGGTTTTTGAAGACAGCCTCCCCTCTGGCCCTACTGCTGCATATAGGGATGTGGCATCTCCTGAGGGGTGCATCCAGGGCCTTCAGACTGAGAGAGCCATAAATATGGCTGTTAACAGTGGTTCATCTCAGGAGCCCAAGCCACCATGACAGAGGAATAAGGCAAAAGGGGAAAAGAAGAGTGGGATATAGAGGAAAGGTCCAGTCTGGAAAGGCTCTGGAAAAATTCTGCCCTCAGCTATTTATCCCACTGCATAATGCTTGTGCAGAACACTCTGAAAACAGGCTGTGTGGGCTTCAACTCTAGCTCTGTTCTAAGCTATGGTTTCCTGCTCTCTGTAAAAGGAATGCTGATGTTAACAGTGGGCTTACAGGGTCTTGTCATGAGGCATAGGAGGTAATGTGTGTCCAGAGCCTGATATACTGGGACATAGCCAGAACTCAAAGAGGGGAACACACAGCACCTGCCCAGGTTTCACATGTCACACCTGAACATAATTGCCCTGTGCCTTTCTTCCTCATCAGGTACAATATTTAGGTTCTAACTTATACCTATAAGCACAGCTAGGCACTCTTTTCAAAAATTAAAAACAAAACAAACAAAAAACAAACAGTACTACCTGGGTGGCTCAGTCATTTGAGCCTCTGACTCTTGGTTTCAGCTTTGTGATCTCAGCATCATGAGATTGAGCCCAACATCGTCAGGCTCTGTACTCAATGAGGGGTGTCTGTTTGAGATTTCTCTCCCTCTCCTCCCTCTACCCCTCCCCCACTCATGTTCACACTCTCTAAAAAATAAATCTTTTTTTTTTTTTTTTAAGATTTTGTTTATTTGACAGCCAGAGATCACAAGTAGGCAGAGAGGCAGGCGGTGGGCGGGGTGGGGGTGGGCAGAAGCAGGCTCCCTGCTGAGTAGAAAGCCCGATGTGGGGTTCTATCCTAGGACCCTGAAATCACAACCTGACCCAAAGGCAGAGGCTGAATGCACTGAGCCACGTAGGTGCCCCTCTAAAAAATAAATCTTAAAAAAATAAAAACAAAATTGCAGTTGTGAATTACACTAATGTCAGCAGGCTGGTTTGGATACTGAGCCATAACTATATAACAAGTCACCATGGAGAGAATTCCAGTGAAGGGTGCATGGGATCTCTATTAGGGAAACATCCTGTGAATCTACAAAATTTCAAAAGGAAAGCTTTACATAAAAGAAAGGATAAATTCAAAAGCACCTCAATTAGGAATGAATGGGAAAAGTATTCACAGCTGCTATGTTAAGTGGGGATTATTTACAAGTGGCTAGGGAAAGCCCACATCAACCTTGCTTAATTCACAAAAGGGAATATATCAGTTCACTTTGCTGGGAAGGGTATTAGAATAGGAAGGGGGCATAGAAATAGAACTGTAGGAAATGGGGTGTTAGGGCCTGGGAGTGTGGTCACCATTTCAATCTCCCTCATCTCCACCAGTCTCTACTCCTCTTCAGGGTGGGTCTCCTTCCCTCCTAGGACCCCCTCCATGTGGTAAGGTCTTTGGCCAGGTGCAGACCCAGTTTGTTGATGAGTTGAGCTTGAGATGCTCCTATTACTTCTGGGAAAGAAACCTGATTGCCCAGGAGTACCCTGTGGCCACGTGGATAAGAGAGCTTTGCCACACAGACCAAACTAGTTTGTCATTACAACCCACAACATTCAAGTGGAACTAGGTTTAGGATTCTCTGTTATCACAGTAAGGGGAAATGAGAGAGGCCAAAGCTAGGGAGGCTCCCTATGGAATCATGGCACACAAACAGCTTTCCATCCTTCTGAGTCTAGAAGCTGGTACAGGACCACAAAGGTGCAGTAAGAATAGATAGTCCAAAATGTGCTCAAGACATCTGGGACCCCCACCAGACCAAGTCATATAATTAGGTAGTTGCAGAAGCAGATTTTTGGGACATGAGTGCTAGACAAGTCTTTAAGGCATGCAATCCCTCCTTTTCCAGATGTGAAGATTACTACCTTCTTTGACATGAAGAGGCCTTAGTGTCCCCCAAGCCCTGCAGAGAGGTGCCTCCTGGATACTGGGAACTTCTGGATAGCCTAGTTTAGGGCATTAGGGTCCTGTAGTCAACTGTTGATAAAAGATGGACAACTCTTGAACCTCAGTAGAAGTCATGAGTAAAGGTGGGAGAAAAGATGGAGAAGGAAAGAGAGAGAGAAGAAATAGCACTATAATGTGACAGCATCTTCCATCTATTTAATGATCACTTTTAAATAATAAAGCTGAAAATCCCAGTGCTACAGTGTGTCACTGTCAATGAGAGCATAAAGAGACAAAAATCATTTTAGGAAATAATTTGAGAAATATGGAAATATGTATCAAAAGTATAAAATGGTTTAATCCTTGGACTCAGTTGTTCCATGTCTTGGAATCTGTGCAAAGAAAAATAATTCCAAAATGGAAAAAAAGAAAAGCTATGTAAAAAGCTGATTATAACAGTGTGATTTAGAAATAATTTAAATATCTAATAAAAATTTGATCAAATACACTTTATTACTTGATGAAACTTTATGTAATTATTAAAATGTATTAAAGGGGGGGAGAAGCAAGGTCCCAATTGGATATATAGCATAAAAGCAATTATGTTTAACCAAAAACTTCTATGAATGTTGATGATGATGATAGAAGGAAGTTTGTCAATATTCTAGTTATTTTATGACAATGGAGTTATTGGTTAACCAATAGAGTATTTTTATTTTCACTAGTCTTTGGATTTTCATAAATAAACTTTTATTTCTCATGTAATAGAAAAATGTATATAATCATAAATACTTCAGAAACCTACCAAAGTCCTTTCATTTGCTTAGTGAACTAACTAAATAATAAATAAATAAAAGGAAAAGAAAGAAGAACCACTTCCTACACCTGAGTGCACACCTTGGTTGCCTTCTTTTGAGGGGTAGGGTCTCAGTCCCAGGCATTCAGTGGCTCTGTGGCAGTGTGGGTTAGGGGCTGGTGCTCTCCTGGTTGGCTTTGAGGACTCTGGGCACAGACTGGGTGGAGGCCATCTCTGAGAACATGAAACCATCCATTTCCCAATTTAGTTCTCTTTTCTCCCATGTAAATGAAACCAAAGATTCACATCTCTTAATGGCTACTTTCCCAGCAAAAGGCTGGATCAAAGGCAATGCCAGGGAAGATGGCTAGAACGTGATGAGTGTGCTACCTTCCTGCAGAATGCCATAATTACTCCTAACCCCAGTGGCAATCACTGGAGCCCTGCCCCAAATGGTAGAGAGCTGTATAAATAAATAAGCAACATCTGAAGAGTGGCACCATGAGAACCCTTAAGGTGTTAGTCTTGATGGCTCACAGATACTGTGATAGTGCAGGACCAAGCCTCTCCTGTCATGGAAAAGCTCTAAGAAGAGACTCTACCACAGACCGCCTTGGATGATGGTTTCTTGAGAAGCAGGCAGAGGACTTGGATGTCCTCCCAGACCAGGCCAGCTGAGGGTGGTGCTGTGAGCTGGCCAGTGCTATATGAAAGGGCTGGCACGCAATCACAAGGATGCCTTGCTTTGAAGCTCTGAAGCTGGAAGGAACTATAGAGCTCACTTTTATGTGTCCTCCACATGCAAGTGCCAGCTGGGGAGATGGCCTCAAGGAGCCAGTTACTAAACCTGTCTTATTTCCATGTCTTGCTTTCACATGACCAAATATTCCAGCCAGGGATACGAGCACAGGCACATCCTAGGAGGCTTTATTGACGATGACAAGTCATAACTGCTTCTGTGCCACAGCTGTTGATGCTCAGCAAAGAAATAGGCGGGTAAATACAGTAAGTCAATTGCCAAACATATTAAGATGCTAAGATACAAATTGATTGTAAAATGCATAAAAAGGTATTTTCAGATGCACCACGTGCATAAAACCTGTGATGCCTTACCTACAGAGCTCTATGCTCTCTCCAAGGCTTGAGGGAAATGATGCCCAGACTGAAGGTTTGTGCTTTTCCCACCAGAAATACTCCCATAGTTTCTCACCTACACCACCCAGAACCTCTGAACTAGCTTCTGAGGTTCCAAGTTTTCCTTCTAGTCCTTCCTCCAGTATAAGGCAGTCAAGACAGACTGGCTAAAATCTAAATCTAAACATATCACTCCCTTGCTTAAAGCCTTAAAAGGTTCCCTTTTTCCTAAACAACAGCTTGAATGACTTGACAAGTCACATAAAAGTCTTCCAGCACTGCCCCCACCTCTTTTGTTGGCTTTACCTTGCTACTTCTCTCTCCTAGAACTGTGCAGCCTAGCAACAGGTAAATGCTGGCACTTCCTGGCATGACAGAGAGTTTCTGGCCTGTGTGATTTTACACTTGTCTGTCCCCTGCATTCTTTTTCCATTGAGTCCTCCTCTGAATGGTCCACTTGAGCAGATCTCCGTCTCCCTCAGAACCCAACTTAAGGGTCACCTGCTTGAGGAAGCTCCCCCACTGCCTCCTGCAGGCAGGTCAGAGCCTGCAGGAACCTTTTTGTGATCTCAAAGCATCTATGCATTTCTCCTGCAATGCTTATCCCACCATATTCTGTCCATCTGTTTATACTGGGCTATTCGTGACATTTAATAACAATAAAAGAGTGCATGTTCAGTGGCTTTGGATGCACTTTTCTAAAGAGGAAGGGATCGCTCTGGGCTGAGGCCCTGGCTACTATGTTGCTTACCATCACAACAAGTGTCATTCCCAGAATTCAGAGGTAGGAGAGGGGGACAGGACTGGCTATGGCAGGCCTGTGGCTGAGAAGAAGGCATCCCTGGAATTGGTCACTTTTCCTTATGTTACAAGACGCAGATTCTGCCAGCCTTCCTCCAGCCTCACCTGGGAAGTATAGCCT